GAACAGGTTCAATTGAGTGTTAGTAGGTGGGGGGGGGGGATTTGATTTGATTGGTTTGTCTCAGGTTTCCTTTTCTTTTTTTATTGAAATCCTTTCAAAGATGATCAAGGTTAATGAAATCACTTTTTGAGATAAGGATTAATTGTCACCGTGCTCTGCACCTTTCCTGAATAAACAGACAAAACTTAAGTAGCCAAAATACTGTGCACACACAAATACAACACAAAGGGAGGAAAATTACTTTGACTATTCATCATCTCTTGCCTATTCAAACCTGTAAAATGTCAAGGTTTATCTCACATTCAACACTTGAAATAAAAAGACCTTAATGAGGCTTTAAACAGATTCGTAGTGAAACTGAACAGATGAGCTCTGAGAGGAAACATTGACATTACAATCACTGCAAAGCTTGTTACAATCTATAACGCAGTGTTGTCACTGGTGGAGAAAAAAATAGCTAAGGATTCTGGATTCAGTGTACATGCACGGGAAACGCCATATAAAGGCATACATGCAAACAGCAGTTCCACTGTGATTAATTAGTTCAAATATAAAGACGCACTGAATTTCCTATTGCTTTATGAGCCGTGCGCATGCAGGTATTTCAAACGTCATGAGATGACTGGCATTTTGCTTCTGACTTGATATGAATGACATATTTCAAAGCTGAAAAAAACTCACCTAATGATGACAAACATCACCAAACAATTTCCCGCTAAACCCACCACGAACACCACGGAGTACAAGGCGACTATAATGGGGATGATGGGCGACATGGGCTCGGGTTCAGCGTCCCAGGTGCCGTTGGGTGTGTCGTTGAAGAGGTCCGAGGAGCCGGGTTGCCAGGTGAAGTTTGGGAAACACTCCTCCAGCTGGCCCGGGGGACACCTGTCCTCTTTGTAGATGTGCACCACGCTGCTCTCCATGGTGCTGAACTCTGTCTGCACCGGCCGGGGCTGCTGCTTTGCGTAAAGTGACCGCTCCGAATCAAGCGGAAATTCCGATGACTCAAAACAAAAACAAAAAAAACACACAAAAACAACAACACACGAAGCACATTTCTATATTAGGACACATTATGGCTTCAGTGAAGAGGAGCGCAACAGCCCGCGCTCAAGGACATCATTACACAAGACACAAGTGCAACACCACCTTACCTGTTTTTTTCCCCCAGAAAAGTTCGTGCAAATACAACAACACCGATTACGAGTTTCTTACGGGACGCTCAGCCACAGATTAAAATCCGGATGCTGACAGAGACAAAAGGTTTCTGGGTAGTTGTGTAGTGTGTTGACGAGCAGACAATTCACTGCCTGTGCCACGGCTGCGTCCCTGACGCTGCGCACTGGAAGCCCGCACTGCATTCAGTGACATCAGAGGCTGAGCCAACAGATGTGACAGTATCGAGCCAGCAGAACCCATCTAACCCCATGCACCACACGCAGCTGAAAATATAGATTTACATACAATTAACAATTTATTCAGATTTGGTTCTTTTTTTTTTTGCACTTTACCTGGTAAAATGCCTCACTAATGACGCCTCAAGCTCCAAAGCGGTGACCAGCTTGCATAGTCAGACATGTTAGCCTTAAACAAATAAATCATTCATATGTCTTGTATTTTGATGAGTTCACAAGTCGCCTGTGTGAAAAGTAAAACTAAATGTGCTGCGATGTCACGTGCACACCTTTCTGGAGATGTTTAAGTTCCCAACAATGTTGTCTTAACATGTTCCCTAGCAACTCCTGTGAGAGTAATGACTGCATTGCAAACATGTAGAGTCCATATCGGATGTTGAAGAGGCATGAAGTCAGAATAACACTCCACAGCAACCTTCAGAGGATTGCATCTGCATGTGAACCAGCACCAACTCATACAGGCAATGTGTACAATAACAATTAAGAATAACAATGGAGAGAGGCCTTTAGTGGACCTTCAAATAAAAACAGCTCTTTATCTCATCAGAATGTTTCGACTCCATTTGGTCAGAATCATCCCTTTTGCTTCTTGAGTCATTTTCACCATTTCCTTTCAACTCTCTGTGCTCATAACTTGCAGCTTTTTTTAAGTGCATTTTCTCTATTTTATCAACTCCATATTTTCCCGTTGCATTAAAACATGAATCTGACTACAGAAAGACAACATTTAGCTGCACAGAGAGCTTATAACAAAAATAAAAATCTAGCTCTGAATAAAGAATACCCATGTCACAGACCACGCCTCTCTTTCTTTTCTCACCCCAACAGATAGGAGACAGATTTCATCCAGCACGTAATTTAGTGGGTGCTGTTCCCTTTCCCTCGTTTCATGCACTAACGCTTGTTGCTTAGAGACCCATCATGGCCAGGTTTTGCTTGAGGGAGCCTCTTTGTATGTTTCTATTGTTAAGGTGCTGACAGTCTTGAATATGTGAGATGGATGCATTTACAATATAAGTTCACTGAGGTCCTCAGCCTTAAGCTGACAGTAAAGGTGTGAATCACATCTTTCCTCTTATCAGAGCTTCAATGGAGGAGGACACAATTACAGTATTTACCCGTAACCCTGATAATGCAGTTCCAAAGGTCTGTTTGCGCAAAGATACAATCCGCTGCACTTCCTGTGGCACTTGAAACAGGTTGTTTGATTTGAGTTCCAGAGGAGGAGAGGAAATGATCGTTACGTAACCATCAGAAGATAAGGTCAAGAACAAATTCCTTTCTGTGTTTTAGTGCCTTTTCCACGATGACCTGAGGTGCTGCCTATTCAGTGAAATACTTCAATTAACAGTTTAATGATGAAAACGGGCTTTCAACACGGGTTACCATGGGGAAAAAGTCTTTTCACAAAAGCACAGGTTTTTCAAGTGTACTTCACCAGTCAATTACTGTCTCGTTTTGCTGCTTTTCATTCATCAGTCACAATTTGAAAATTGTCACAGCCCTCCACATGCACTGTTAGCCTCCTGTGAAATCTCTTGAACATTCATTGCCATATTGAGTCGACAACAGAAAGAGCCACCCCAATTTCAGAGATAAAAGAAGCTCTCTCCATCAGCAGCAACATGTGCTGAGTTCACAGACAGAAACCTTTCAAGATCTGCAATGAAATACTCATTGGATCCTACTAATATATATATATATATATATATATACACACACACACACACACACAGTATATAATGTCTGTCTCTCTTCTGATCCTGTGTCACAAGGAAGATATACTGCTCACTGAGAAAAGTGTACACAAATTACACCTGATTTAAGACCATAGATATTAAACTTACATGTGTACATGGAGAAAATGAACAGCAGGAAACTTTGACACACCAAACAAGAAGGAAGAAGGGATTGATTCATGTTTTTGCGAGGGGCAGGTGGGCCAGATCTACTTTTATGTGTGAAGTGGATGTTTTCAGTCTTAACTTCAATGTGTAGCTGCGAGTTACTTATTGAAGATAAGACTCATCATCTCACCTAAATATGTATCTGTGAGAACCTTTTGATATCAGGTGGGTGTGGCAGCCATTTCACACTCTTTTATCACACTCATTTTAAATATGTTTTTGTCCATTCTTAAGATCTTTAAAAGAGATACAAAAATGTATTTATTCATTTCAAAGAGATATTTGAAAGAGTTTGGGCCTATAAATCAGTTCCTGAGATGAAATGTGATGTAATTTAAGTTGTATCACTACAGATTACACCCATAAAGATCCATATGCACTCACGGTAGAGCTCATAATAACGTCTCATTACCCAGAGATTTACATTCATGAGGGCTCTTTGTTTGAAATGTCTTGAGAGGGAGAAAAACAGAGAAGAGGTGTGAAATGTCTTTTGTTCGCCACAGTCCAGTGAAGACATATCTTTAAAATGTTGGCCTCTCATCAATCAATGATAATTTGTGCTTTGCGACAATGCATGTGTGACATATCCAATGAGGTTTTTAAAGATTTTGAAATGATTTATTATAATTTGAAGCTAGATGGAGTTTGCAAATCGTCTATAATTTCACTAACCTCTTCGTTCGGCTGGCTTTCCCGTTGTCTTTTGAACAAAAAATGCCTCTAAAAAGGTTCATAAGCATCATACCAGATCAGTATTCCAAGTTGATTGGAAATCTGCTGCCTCGGCTCTGGACAGAACAAGAGTAAGCACCAGTGCC